TCAGAAGCCCACCTTCTCCTCTGGCTGACTGGGAGCCAGAGTGACAATTTGTAGACGATGTTTTGCTGTTATAGCTGCTGGTGGAGTCGGAGTCCTTCTTCTCGACCTGGGCTGGTCGAACTCCCCTGCTCTGGATCCCATCCATCTGAGGGCGGCCAGTGTTGTTGCTGCTTACAGTACCATTTGGTTCCCCAGGTGGTGTGCTGGTGGTGCCCATCAAGCTGCACAAGTGTCCTTTCTGCCCCTACACTGCCAAACAGAAGGGCATCCTTAAGCAGCACATCCGCTCACACACGGGGGAGTGGCCCTACCCCTGTGAGACCTGCGGCAAGAGGTTCACCCGCCAGGAGCATCTGCGGGGCCACGCGCTCAGCGTAAGTGGAGGAGCTGGCGGTCCTCTCGGGACGGTAGGGTGGGAGTGGCAGTGGTTCGTGACGTTCGTCTAATGTGAGGGCAAGGCCAGTCTGTATTTCTCTTCTCTGTCCACTGGGGTATTTCCAGAGAATTTTAAACATGTATTTCTGCTACTAAATTACACCTGGGTTGGTGGCACTTAGAGAAAGTTAAAACTTATATGGTAACAGACTAGTTTGCTTAGGAGGAAAGTTAAGAAAGTTTAGACCCTAGTCAAGGATGGTTGTCAAAAGGCAGAGAACACTGAGGCTTAGACAGGGGATTGTGGGTCTGTTCCCTGTGGTGTGATGCCAGAGGTAAGCTGCATTCTCGGTTTCCCACCCAACCTCAGCACCCCGGGGTGGGGAAGAGATATACTGCCATTTATAGGGCTACCTGTGAGCAGCAAAGAGGACCCCAGCCCAAGCGGACCTCCCCTGCCACTGGCTGCCACCTAGGATTCTGTCTCCCACGTGAGTGGGTGATTCCTACCTGCTAAAAAGCATTCAGGCCATTTAGAAAGGCATTGCATTTAAGATCGTCTTTGAGCAAGGCAATCAGTCTTTGGAAAATCCAACATAAAAATGGTTTGGATTTCAAAAGACACTATCAAGAATGTGAAAAGACAACCCACAGAATGGGAGAAGAATCTTTGTGAATCATTTATCTGCTAAGGATCTAATAACCAGAATATATAAAGAATTCTTGGGCTTCCCTGGTGGCGCAGTGGTTGAGAGTCCGCCTGCCGATGCAGGGGACACGGGTTCGTGCCCCGGTCCGGAAAGATCCCACATGCTGCGGAGCGGCTGGGCCCGTGAGCCATGGCTGCTGAGCCTGCGCATCCGGAGCCTGTGCTCCGCAACGGGAGGGGCCGCTGCAGTGAGAGGCCCGCGTACAGCAAAAAAAAAAAAAATCTTATAATTCAACAATAAAAAGACAACCCAATTAAACAATGGATGTGAATAGATGTTTCTCTAAAGAAGATAAACAAATGGCCAATAAGCACATGAAAAGATGCTCAACATGATTAGTCAGTAGGAAAATATAAATCACAGCCACAATGAGATGCCACTTCACACAAACTAGGATTGCTATAATAATAATAAAAAAACCAAAAACAGATAATAACAAAGTGTTGGCAAGGATGTGGAGACACTAGAACCCTCACATACTGCTAGTGGGCACATAAAATGGTGCAGCCACTGTGGAAGAGAGTTTGGCGGTTCCTCAAAAGTTTAAGCATAAAGTTACCATTAGGACCCAGCAATTCTACATCTAGGTACATACACAAGAGAACTAAAACAGACATTCACACAAAAACTTGTATACAGATGTTCGTAGCAGCATTATTTATAATAGCCAAAAAGTAGAAACAACCCAAATGTCCATCAACTGATGAATGAATAAACAAAATGTGGCATATCTATACGATGGATACATTTTATTCAGCCATAAAATGAAATGAGTTCCTGATACATGCTACATATGGAACAACCTTGAAAGCATTATGCTATGTGAAAGAAGCCAGTCACAAAAGGCCACCTATTATGTGATCTCATTTATATGAAATATAAAAAGTGGGCAGACCTATGGAGATAGAGAGTAGATTAGTGGTTGGGGCATGGGGGATGGGAGAGGCATGACTGTTAATGTGCACAGGCTTTCTTTATGGAGTGATGAAAATTTCTGGAATTAGATGGTGGTGATGGTTGTACAACCTTATGAACATACTTAAAACCACTGAATTGTACACTTTAAAAGGGTGAATTTTATGGTATGTGAATTATGGTTTTGAAAGAATCCAGATTTAAGATAAGTACAAGGTTACTGACTGCCTCTGCTCTCAGTGCTGGCCCTAGCATACTTGTCTGAGAGTGGCCTTACCCCAAGGCCTTAAGTTTTTGTTTGCCTTTTTTTTTTCTTCAAATTATATCTCCAGTCCGTCTTGACAACAATAGGTCCCTGGGTACCTTTAAGATGTTTCATTGGTTGGAATCCTCATTCCCTCTATTTTTCCACTTTGTACGAGGTCCAGTCTACTGCAGCCCAAAGAGGTAGTCTTCAAAGGCTCCATCAGGTTGCAAGGGTCACATACACACTCGGGTTGGCTCAGGCATTGGGGGTTTAGTATAGGAAGCCCAAGAAACCTCAGGGGAAGCAGGGACATAGGTCAGGATGTAACGGCAACTCCAGCAACCTGGGTATCATTGTTGACCCTTCTGCATCACCCTCTCTCTGTCACTGCCTCTTGTGTGTATCCTGCATCCAGAGCTCTCTAAAAAGAGAGGCTCTGATTGATTCACAGATCCCCTATTGGCTGGAGTTCCTGGAAAGTGCATGCATTAGAAAGATAGCTCCTTATACAGAGGGGACCCCTGGGACTGCTGCCCTCACAAGGAGCTGCACGGAGTAGGAGATCAGGTTCTCTTTTCTAGTATGTAAAGCTCTTTTCATAAGTAAGGAATGCATTTATCAATGAAAAAGTCAAGGGTGAAGCATCTGCTGGCACTTTTAGAGAATACACTGTCTGGCAAATCTGCCTTCCTAATAGCTAAACAATCCAAGGTACGTAAGAGGCCATGCCTAAAATCCTAATCGGTTCACTGAGTGCCCTTTATGTGCCAGGCACTAGGGATATAGTAACAAATGTGACAGAGGACAGAGAGCATGCATGAGGATAGTCCGTGACCTCTTGGTGCTTAGAATCTAGTGAGTTTTACCAATGATTTGTGAGAAATAAAACAGAGGGAGAAGTATAGGTGAGACTATATAGCTGGGGGACCTAATCTGGCCTGGAGCATCAGAGAAGACTTCCTTGAAAGTCATTAGTGGGAATTCCCTGGCGGTCCAGTGATTAGGACTCTGAGCTTTCACTGCCGAGGACACAGGTTCCATCCCTGGTGGGGAACTAAGATCCCCGTAAGCTGCGCGGCACAGCTGGGGGGGGGGGATAAAAAAGGCATTAGTAAGGAGGGAGGGGTGACCGTGGGGAGGAGGGCACACTCCACGCATGTCCGATGGCCCTGGGGTGGAAAGGACCTTGGTAAGGCTGAGACTGTGGCAGAGAGAGCAAGAGGGAGAGTGGTGAGAAATGAGACTGGAGGGTCAGCCAGGGGCCATGTCTCATGGGGCCCTGAAGGCCATGACTCAACCCCTTTTCTGTGACATTTACTGTGCTGGTGATTTTAGGTCCATAGGTCCAACCGTCCAATTATCTGCAAGGGCTGCAGAAGAACCTTCACAAGTCACCTGTCGCGGGGGCTGCGGCGCTTCGGCCTGTGTGACAGCTGCACCTGCGTTACAGACACGCATGATGATGATGACGAATTGATGCCCATCAGACTTAGCCTGGTGGAGGCTTTGTCCGAGAGCCAAGAAAAGAGTGACACAGACAATGACTGGCCAATCTACGTGGAGTCTGGTGAGGAAAACGACCCCGGCGGAGAGGATTCGAATGATAGACCCCAAATTCAGCCCAGCTTATCAGATGGAGAGATGCTTACGTAGCAATAAATTAGTGGAGAAGAGGGTTTAGAGTTTGTTCTTTTGCCAGTTCCGTGGTTGAAAGCCACCCTTTGTCCAATTTTGTGGAACCCCGAGAAGAACATTTTTTCACTGTTATTTGCATTTCTGTTAGACTACATGGTGGAGGTTGGATTCTGTGACTCAAAGGACTTTTTAGTGCTGCCCTTGATTTCTGAAAGCTTTCTGAGTGAACCAAGGTTGGCTCTGAGGCGTCCCGTTTTTCCTGCAGTGCATCCAAACTCTGGTTTGAAGGAAGATCACAAAATCTCCATACTTTTTTCATAGTGTCTCAATCTTTCTGCATTCCTGTGTCGTCATCCTCTTGCTCTGAAAAGGTGGGCAAGAATATATTAAGTTTTGAGATCAATGTTACTTCTGCCAAGCCTCGTCTAATGAATTCCGTACTTTAATTTTCTGGTGAAGTATTAAGGAGAAAGTTTCCTTGATATAAGGCAGACACGGTCATCTGGCTATATGACTGTAAAAATCACTTTCTAAATCTAAGATCGCGGTTTTAAAGGCTGGGGGTATTTATGTGCAGACAAGCATGGAAATGGGCTGAAAGTTTCCTTATGGCACTGTGACTTGCCCCGTTGAATTAAGTTAGCCCCGGGAAGGGAGCCTGAGAGCCCAGGTCTGGGTGGTTTCCCTGTTTGGCTTGGGATTTAACAATTCTGTGCACACAATTAACCTGTTTTATGATCATAAAACAAGGCATTTGGGCAAAACTCAAAATGCTCCTATGCGTTTTCCAGCCATTTCCAAGAAGCCACTGCTGTGTAACCTGGAAAGGCAGCCACCGCTGACATTCCTTGACTTCGTTTATGAATAGAACTTTAATTGGAGGGAAAGGGTAAGCCAATATAAGCAAGTTATATGTCTAAATTGTTTACCTTTTCAAAGATCCTTTGGAGGGAAAGGGAAGGTTACTAGAAGAACAGGTTTTTAAAACAAGTCTGCTTTTCACCCACTTTGCAGCCATGCAATTATTCTAACAAAAGAGACTGTACTTTTTTAAAAGTCTAAAGAGCAGGAAATATTAGGGATTAAAGATATTTAAGGCACTTTCATAATTTTGTCTTATGTTAAAGTATCCAAAATGGATTTTCTTCCTTTAATTTTAACTATAGTTGTATTTCAAAAGATGGTAAAAAAAAAAACAAAAAAACAAAAAAAACCCACTTTCCTTTCTGCCTCTTGAACAAAAAGAGATAATCAAAAAATTGTAAATTGGCTTGTAAATAAATGTTAGCATTGAAGGGTTCAGAAGGTGTTTACTTCTCAATAGAAGTTGGAACCCTAGGATGGTGCTAGCCCCAGACAGCAGCTGAATTCTTGGATCCCAGTCCACACAGTAGGACCACACATTGGCCTGAAGTAGACTGGAAGTTTAAAAACCGGTCTATTAACAGAGATAGTCAGAAAGTTATTGTTCTAGACCAAGAATTACACATTGAAAATTTTCAAGGACCAGAAACACTTCTTACCAGAAATGAAAATATTAGCGTTGTTTTAAAAGCAGGACCTTAGCAAAAGGGAAACCTAAAAGGAGGTGTAGAAGGTATACTTTGCAGGGAGTTATGGTTGATATTTTCGTTCTCTCCGTTCAAAGCATTTCTGATGTTTTCATATGACTTTTCTACCTCACAGTTCAACACTCTGCCTGCTTTCTCTGGCAGAGCAGTGATCCTCTCTGGTGACCCCATAACCTATTCACATCACTGGGTGCAAAATAAAAAATTTTACATTAGAGATTACACTCTAAGACAGTGATTTTCAACTGGGGGTGATTTTGCCCCCCAGAGTACATACATCTGGCAATGTCTGGAGACGTTGGCTGTTTGGAGTTTGTGTGTTGGCATTGGGAATACTTGAATTCGGTCACTGAATTCTATCACTTTTAAAGGAGATAATTCCTCTGTGTGGACTATCAGATAATAAACTGTCCTCCGTTTTAAATTTATGTTCCCATTTGGTGGTCAGTATTTGTAATCTGCACAGTGTCTTTGAGGTTTAATTTGTGGAGTTGGTGATATTTTTATAAGTAAATTCACAGTTGGGCCCAACGCAGACCATTAGTGATTTAGTTTATATTTGGCATCTTTCTGGCATATTCAGTCCAAGTTTGCAAAGGGATTTTTTTTTCTAATATTACATATACTGCATGGATGGGAACAGGATTTTTACCTGTAATGGGATTGAAAAGTGGCACCCTTGGGAAGTTGTTTCTTTTGGGAGAAGGGGTTGGAAAGGAATATAAATAAGGCCTGGATCTGTAATACCTTTAGAAATGACATAGAGCATCATAGCTTCTGGTCATTTGGCAGAAAGATGCCAGTCTGATGTAAATATTTTTGTGGTCACTATACTTTGAATATTCCTTAAGAAAGCTATTGACCCAGTGGGCTGCAGAATGTTGTGAAATTGAGTATTCTGGAGGTTCAGAATACTACGAAGGGTTTTTTTATTCTGTTGTTGTTGTTAATTGATGTTGTAATAAACCCCACGTAGAGAAAGGCAACAGGCAGGGCTGCATGCGCTGATTCTGAGGGCGGTGGGGAGACTGGAGTGGCCTTTGGTCACTTGAATTCTTATTGTTTCACTTGGACGTCTAGGTTTTTCTTGTGTGTCCTTTGTGCATTGACAATAGAATTATCTCTGTGAAGTGTAATGTAATAGGGTAGAGAGGGGCAAGGGGATGGGGTGGGTGAGAAGTTCCTGTTACACTCTGTTTTGAGCATTACCACGGTACTTCCTGTCATTGTTGGTCCTTTGTAACTTGCTTTGTGCTTTCATGTGTTCGTGCTATCTTTTAACCCCAAAAGGGGGGTGCTTTATTCAGTTGCTTATGATAGGCAATGTTTTCGTTGATTTTTTGCTCAATATTTCCACCAAATATTGCTGTGTTCCTCAAACGTTTCATTAAAGCTCTGAAAATTTGAATTCTTTTCTTCAAATAATGCTTCTATAGAGTTAAATGAAAAGTTGTTTGTTTGGCAAGGGTAGTTTGGTTGGTTTCTAATACGTCCTAGTTTTCAAAGGTGACACTAACTCACACCATTGTGATCAGATGATATGGAAGCTTCATAACTTGAGGAGGACATTTAGCATCTGTTATGACCCTCCAGATGGATAATTTTACTACTGCCAATGCTTCATTGACAGCTGTGGTTTGGGGAAACAATTTTTATATCCATCATTTGATATTTTGGCCTTCTGTCAGTAGCATATTAAAAATTATTGGGGGTTAGGATTGGGATTATGTGTTCAGATGAATAAGGTTTAGCAGTAACAAGCTTGGGGATTTTAAGGGAAGGCATCAATTTGAGATATATGTCTTGATCATGTGTAATGGATATGGATTATCTGTCATGCAGACTGTGAAGGGTATGATTAGGATTTTTCTGGAAGCAGAAGAATATGCCAGACAGTTTCACTTCTTTCTATTATCCATAGTCTCTGAGGAGCTTCTCCTGCCACCAGAAAAAGCAAGCAAATAGTAATATAGTGCCCTCCAGGGGTCTACTTAGGCACAATTGAATGTTTAGAAACATTCAAACTCATAAACTACCACAGCAGATTCGCTTAGAAGGACACAGAATGGGAAGCACGGGTCACCAGCAGGGCAGAGCCAGTTTCTGCTCCTCCGTCGGAGTCCCTGCATCTGTTCCTGTGGTTCAGGTGCAAGGAGACAGACCCACATCGGGCAAGTATGGAAGCTATTCTGGCTTAAAAGCCTCTTGTCCCATGGGGGCAAGTATCTCTTATAACAACTCCATAGAGATAACTTCCAGGGTCCCCACAAGAGACATGTCTCTTCCAAGAGTCACCGTGGTTCGGAAGCTCAGAGGTGTGGCTTCCTATCAGGCATTTGTAGTTCTTCCAGTCTGGATACAGTTCACCAGTTTGGGGTCATTTCTACCATATGTAATGTTGCCTAGCAACATGGTTTATATACTACTGTTTATTAGGTTGCCAGGGGAACAGAGCTAGAAAGTTAACCCAGGGTTAAATTCTCACACAGAAGGGGAAAAGGTTTTGTTAATCCTTTACCAAACGGTATGCTGAGCAATTACACAAGAGTTACTGCACCTAGTTCCTACGAAATATAGCCAGAGGAATTTCCTGTTAAAATGTAGCCCACACCAACTCACTTTTCCTTGAAGAGTATTCATTCTTTGTGCTTAGCTACTCATGATTAATACACTGCAAATTTTGCTGAGGTATGTGTAAGAGTTGGATAAATGGTCCCGTCAAAATTATCCCATCAAAATGTCTTGTATCCTTTGGTGCTACTCAGAGTAGGCAGGTATAGTATAACATACTATAGGGACATCATTGAATGGAAATTTCTGGGGATCCTATCAATCACACTTTGATAGGAGCCTATGTCCATCTGGCAACCACCAAACACTAGGCTCTTGATAATGGTGCCTCTTATTACTGTATCATGTGATGCTACCCTTGCCTGCTTCTGTTGCTCCTGGAAGAGCAGTAAGTGAGGACAGCCAGTTATTTATTCAACAGTTATTCAATAATTATTTATGGAGCCCTTATTATGTGTCAGGCACTGTACCCCTGATGTACCGTCAAGGGTACATCAATGAACAATTCCTGTCCTCGCAGAAATTGCACTGTGTAATCAGGGGGGCCAACAAACAACACAGTTTGGGGTGTGACAATAGGGGCAAGGACAGGGTGCCCTGAAAGTGCTTGGGTAGAGCAACCAGCCCACTCTTAGAGCCTCAGAGAAGCCTTTCTTGTCTAAGCTACTCTTGTTGTGGTCCTTCCCGTCCAGTAAACTTCTTGCTTTGGGATACAATTTATAAGCAACTTAAATAGTTTCTGACATTTCCTGCCTTTTCCAAACATGGTGGCTTTGGACATTAACAGTGTTTAAATTACATGCTTTATTCAGGTATATAAAAATATTACAAAAATTCAGAATATCCTAGTTGTTAGAAAATATGCATCAGATGCTG